TGGCCGCTTGTCATGTGGATCAGCAGGAGGAGCCGCCGTAAGAATGCATACACCATGTTTTGATACTTTTCAACTTGCTTCATGTTCCAATGAAAAGTCTGCTGGTTTGAAAAGAAGAGCCTGCATAGTCGCTTGTTATCGCGTATCTGTCGCAGCAACCAGCGCTCACGACCGCCGAGTAAGCCCTCGTTCCGCTGATCGTCGAGGAAACTCCACCCAGCCTCAGACACGGTGGGATCGTCTTTGATGCCAGAGAGACGTAGGGGAGGCAGAGACTCTCTCCGTGCATCGGTGTCGCCCTTTGGCAGCAGAAGTAAATCATGCAGTTGCTCCTGGGCTTCTTCGACCTGATCTCGCAGAAACCAGCGCAAGTCGTTCATGGTCATCTCCAGGGACTTGTAAGAAAGGCTCTGCCCATCATCTGACCAAGATAGGAACCCAAGGCTTGTAGAAGTATCACGAATCCTTGCGCCATATGCGCGTAAGTTGAGAATCCAGTTCATTGGCGTCTCACTGCCGAATACCATAAAACGATCCTGCATCTCTGCAATGAGCTCGCTTGCAAATTGCGCCCGTCCGGCTTCATGTTCGTGGATTGCAAATTGAACCACAATCAGCTGGGCCATCTTTACCAGCGCTGACAGATCGGGCGTGCACGTTACCGCGGAGACGAAGCCATTGCGCTCACGATTGATCCCTAGCGCAGCAAGGAACGCTACCACAATGCTCTCCGTGATGGGGCCCCGCAACTTGTGGTCGAGCAAGGCAATGCAAAGGGAGAGGCAAGCGCTCTGGTCTGCCTCGGGTGCTGACGCCGCTACGACTCCATGGGGCTTGGGAAGCTTTGCCAGTGCTTCGAGTTGTGTCGGTGTAAGCGTGTAAGTCAGCAAAGGTCCTTGACAAAGCACGGCAGACCGGTACACGAAGCATAGGAGTTTATGCCAGATAGCCATGTACTTTCGGTAAGTGCCCTCTTGGAGTTTCGTCAGAAGGGGACGCTTGTGCGGCCGATGGGGTATAAAGCTGGCGACGCGGTGCAGAGAGAAGACGTTGACTTTCTCCTCGAGAACGGATAGACGGGCAGCTTCTATTACGCCATCGAACGCCTGTAGTAGGGCTACAAGTCCGGTCTCCTGTGATTGCGGTGGTGCTAGTAGCTCTGTGACTGCAGATAAACTGTGACCCTTTAGATAGCTAGCCCAACCCGTTTTCTCAATCCAGGGGTCTAGATGCATTGGGTAGCGGGTACTTGTGCTTACGCTAGCACCATAAGGAGCAGAAGATCCATCCAGGCAATCCTCTATGCTCTCCCAAGCTTTCTCGCGTTGAGTAAGCGCGTCTGTATCAACCCTCGGTCTCGCACCTCTGTGATGATAGTCGGTAGGAAGATCGATAGGCCAAAGAAACGAGCCGATTCCATGCGGTACAATACGGTGGCACGGCACATTCGGTTCCCAGGGCTTGGTAGCCGCCTGCCCGTGTTGTGTGCGCGATCGAGGGCGGCCGCGCCCCTGGGTGTTTTTCCAGCCATGCTGCGAACGACAATGATGCTGGATGCCGCTTCTGCCGCTAAATAGGGAGTTGCATCGCTGGCCAGTCCTAGGATCACTGAATAGGCAGTGGTTTGCGCGCAAGACAGGCAACTCAGGTATCCATGGAGAAGAGGTCGCAGGGGGGCGCCAGGCATGGAGATCTGCCTCTGTCTGTAGAGAAACGGGGTAGACTGGTAGATAGACCTCCTTCCATGCTGCTAGGATCCGCCTGCAGTCTACTGTTCGGTACCCGTGGGGACTACTACTGAAGTGATTTGGTACGCGGCTTAGCGGAAGAACTATGCGGCAGCTGCGGCAGCTAAGGAAGGAATACGGCTCTTTACTATAGTAGGTAAGATCGTGTAGAAGCTTTGCGTCTTGTTCTTGATCCTTAGTAATAGTAGAAGGTAGGATAGTAAGAGATAGCATGGTAGAGTAGGAGATAGAGCAAGGTTTAAGAGCAAAGGGGGAGGGAGGGAGGTTTGGAGGTTTGTTAGACGAAATAGAAGAGTACTGTTAAGAAGAAAGGGAAGGTAACTAGGTAGTCAGTTACCTTTACAACGTTGTTTGTTAGTTAGATCTACCTATCCCTTTTCAGGTCAGGGGTCAGGGGTCAGGGGTCAGGGCAGGGGGTTCAGTTCATTTTACGAGGCGCACGGGCGAAGTGATGTGGGAGGGAAAATGAATTTGGGGCAAAACGCATTAGGAATACCGGTCAGGGCGCCTTTTCGTGCCGCATCGGAGTGAATAAGAGACTGTGCCTAGTCAGCTGTGCATACGATAGAGACGAGAAGGACTAACGCCTTTAACGATGATACCACCCAGGCTGTGAGCCACAAAGATTATTGGTCGTTCCATAGTCTTCTCCTGTCAGAACTATATCGTACAGATGTCCGCTCTCGTCTCACATTTGTACGCTTTCTCTTGAGGCAGAGATCCGATACTAGCTGTTCTGCATGATCGTGGAGGAATTGGTGGCTAACGCGCTCGCCGTGCGTGTTTGCATCGTATCCCCAGCAGAATATGCGCGCATTGGGGTTGTCCTTTGGTAGGAGATCACGGAGCCAGTGGGTGCCGTTCGCTGCTGTCCAGGTCTTGTCGCGGTGCCCGTTTAAGCCGTGGACAGCAACGATGCTGGGTAATGTCAGTACAGACTCCTTTGATGGTACGGATAGCACACTCCACCACCGGTCGCTCTCCCTCTGCTACAACCTTAAGACCATGTGCAGCTGCTGTAGACGGATCTTGCAGCGGGGATGAGCTGCTACTCTGATACAGCGTCAGCCTAACAGAGGTAGAATGTTAGGGTCGATAAGTACAGAGTCCCGACGATCGTTCCTGAATGAGATCAGTCGCCGCCACCTAGAGGTCGCCATGGTTCGAATGCAGGATCCAACGATCTCCCTGATTCTGAAGATTCGTGAGAGTTGCTGGGCCCTATCGTACCAGGCAGACTGTAGTGCCGCTGTCGGCTCAGCTGCGCTCGCAAGTCTGTTCTGAATCACGAGGCGCCGCCAATCAAAGCACAGAGGCAGTCAGCCCCAGTGTCTCCCCCGCTATGTTCACGCTGCATGTAGATAGGGTTGAATCATTTATCTTCGGGTATATGTTGTTCCTATGGCGCTTCGACCTAGCCCTATACTTAGACTACTTAGGGTTGCTTACTAAAATAATTAAAATACCTTCTAGGTCGTTCTGCAAAGCTGCTGCTAGGGCTGCTACTGTGATAAAGTGTCGTGATAATGCAAAGTTGGTTGGTGAACTGCGCAAGTCCCGTGTAGGTAAGGTTCAACTTTACTTTCAACCTCCTTGACCCTTCAAATACCTTAACTACAACGCGCAACTTAACGCCGCAAAACAGCTCGTATGGTGGTGCAACTGATTTATTTAGTGCAGAATAGCTTTCTCTATTAAATTCCCAAATTTTAGGGTAATGCAAGCGCGTAGTAACTTAGGTTACCGCCCTAGGATAGAATTGCCAGGGTCTGCCAAGGCGTGTTACATAGACACGTGACGAAGCAACTATAACAACAACCTAAGAAGATATACAATAACAAGACCTTAGAGATTTTCTTTTCCTAGCTCTTACCTATGCAACTCTCTACAACTCTATGCGCACTTCCTTATACACAATGCAAGACACTACAACCCCAATAAACAATACTCCTAAGGAGGCAAGCAACATCTTGCATAGAGTTAAGGCCTTCGAATCCTATCTCCAGCGAAACAAGTACCCTTCACTCAAGATTACCCTACCCAACAATGACTTCTTACTCGACACGTCTTCTACCATGGATAAGGAATGCTCTACGCACAGGCACCTTGAATTACTACATTCGCTCCGACTAGGATCCGTCTTTTGCTTGCATGAATTCGTACATGACGATGGACCTTGTTCTAAGTACCTTGTCGACGTTATGATTGTTGATCTCTTTCAATGCTCCTATCATGGTAGTATGGTTGTTTTTGCTTTGCTCTTTGACACCAAGACCGTACGGGATGCTGCCCTACCTGGGTGTATTTGGCCAGATCAACTTCAAGGCGACAGGATGCCTACCTACCTACTAAGCAACAAATTCTATGCAATGAAGGAGTCTACCTTTTCCGCGTCTCAATCCCGTTTTACCATCGAGACGGTATCCCCTTTCTATGGCTTCAACTTCTACCTCAGAGATCTAGAGGAGTTTGATGGATCTTGCTTAGCAGTAAACCGCGCCTTTACTTCCTACCACGGACCCATTATGGAAACGTTCAACAACACGCTCCCCCTAGAGCTTAGGCGCATGGTGTACAGGGAGCTGTTTTCGCCTATGACGTTTGGCGTACATCTTATCAAGGACTACATAGGACAAGTAGAGGGGGACATGGAGGGAGATCCAGCACAGTCTATTCTAGTAACGGATGACTTCGAGACCGATTTTGCAGACGGGTATAGCCTTCTCTTGACCCTAAGGGATGTACAAGACTCGTTGAATGAAATCTATGTATGGAAATCCGACACAATTCACGATGACATCCTTCGTTCTGGTATAGCGTCGTCTCAAGCACTCATTCTCAGACGAGGCGAAGAGGGAATTGTTATTCCACTTCCAGCACTCGTGAACCTAAATATCCGTTGTGGTAATGAAGGAGCCCTAACTATTCCACCGTTTAATCTAGTTAAGAACTGCCTGAAGGTCTTTAGCACGCTTCGGAAGGTTACTATTACTATATCAGAACTCAACGTACCAGTACTGACTGAGAGGAGGCTAGCCGAAGGTATGGCACTGATTGAAGCTATAAACAAAAGAATTACATGGGATGTTACCTATGTATGTGAAAGGGACACTCTCACATACCGAACAGGGATGTGATACTTGGTAAACATCCTCTTACTACAGTAGTAGTGGCACGGGGAGGTAATAATTAAAGCGTAATTAGTCAAGAATGCAAAACTATCTATCCTTGCAATACTCACGTTTATAATTGTTACGGTTACTAGGAGATAGATTATCTATTATAGAGAAGTATATTTGCTAGGATAATAAGTACGTTCTAGTAGTCCTGTTGTAAACTTAGGAATACTACACGTCCAGATGTACACCCTAAGCATATTGTATGCTTCTTTACTACTATCTCACAATCTCGAAACTCAGGAGGAAGCCATATAAAGCGCTGATTACGACGTAATATCCAGTCATCATCTAGTGTAGCGCATGTAGATTCCTCACTTTCAAGAGTTTCTAAAGTAGTAGCCAGATCTGACGCAAGAGAGATGAATCCTATGTTAGTCTCAAGTCCCTGGCCATCTAGCGAGAAAACCATGC